TGTGTGAATGTGTATGAATGTATTATTTTCTGTTTGATGGGCTTTGCGATCACTGTGTGAATGTGTGTGAAAGGGTGAATGTGGCACGTAGTGTAAAAATAAATTTGAGTGGTCGGAAGACTAGAAAGGCGCTATACAAGTACAGGTCCATTTACCAAGCTTTAGTGTTCAATTCTGATTTATTTCTCAGATCTTTGTTTGTCTGTTTAAGTTATTTTTAAAATGTAGCCCATATCAGAGCCCATATTCAGTGACCTGAATGACAAAAGTTACACTGAGGTTGCATTGCAAAAAATCCGACCTGTAGTGGTATGGAAAAGATCTGATTCCATGTGATTTGTGCCGTTCACACACGGTAATGAACAAATCAGATCAGATGAGCAAAACTAGAATTAAAACTGTTAATGTCACAAATGTCAAGCAGGAACCCAAATGGTGTGTACCAATACACAAAAATGCCTAGGGTATGGTCAGGCAGGCACAGGTTAAAACCAGGGGCCTCATTTATAAAAATGTTCTTAGGTTTATACCTAGTCTTAAAATAATTTCCGATTGCTTACGTTTGATTCATAAAAAGATACTCAGCAATTAAAAACCTTGTTTATGTAGGTCCTATGAAGCCCATTTGAAACTTACACCTCTGATCTATAAATCTCAAAGTAAGCAAAAGCTCCAACTGCAAAACGCTGACATAACCAGCAAGAACATCACTTAATTCAAGTCTAGACATTGATGAGCATTTTTGTTAAAGTAATATATCAGAAAGATGCTGAAACTACCTATCAATCATTATCAGTCTTTTTATACATGAGATTAGCTAGATATGTATTGTTCATCTTTCTTTTATAAACATGCAGTCACAAGACTGTCTAAGTCTAGGCTATTTCAATAAAATGGCCTAGAAAGTGTTCCTTCTACCATCAAATGTTTTGTCACTTTTTTTGTTTTGTCACTTTGTCACAATACACAACAATATATTCTATAATTGTATGTAATATTTTGTACTAATTTACACATAATCTAAAAATGTCCAAAAGAAATGAAGACTGATCATTTGGAAAGTAAACTTACTTGTGTTTCTTGATGTCAATGATGCCATTCTTTTTATTTCCCAACCTCTCTACTGGGTTTAGCCTGAGATGAAAAGAAAGAGACGGTTATTGGTTTAATAACCCTGTGAATATTCTGTTCAAAAAGAAACGGTTAAGGAAATTTAACAAGGACACTCGCTTGATTGAATTACAACACATGGCTTAATAAACCCAGCAGCATCAGTGTCCAAACACAATGAGCTGCTGCCATATTTGTGACAAATGTGTGATGAATGTGGATAGGATCCACGTCACTGCGGCGGTTGTTCTTTGCTCTGGTGTAACAACACTATAACAATCAACCTGTCATCATTCTAAGTG